GCTCAACTCTACCCGAGTGCCCAACTCATGCTGTACGACCCTCTAGAACCGTGATGTGAACTAAGTACCTCTATCTGAAATAATGGAAACTGGAATACCGTGAAGACAGACAATCTCCCGGATATAAATCTCCGCTAACCGCTCCGAAGAATAGGTGGTACACATAGGAATGAAATACGCGGACTTGGTTAGTCGATCCACAATCACCTAAATGGCATCGAACTTCCTCAAAGTCCGTGGGAGCGCAACTACGAAGTCCATGGTGATCCGCTTCCACTTCCACTCCGGAATCTCTATCTGCTAAAGCAATCCACCCGGCCTCTAGTGCTCATACTTTACCTGCTGACAATTGAGGCACCGAGCTACAAACCCAACTATATCCTTCTTCATCGACCTCCACCAATAGTGCTGTCTCAAATCCTGATACATCTTCGCGACACCCGGATGGATGGAATACCGCGAACTATGGGCCTCCTCTAGAATCAAGTCCCGAAGCCCATCAACATTGGGTACACAACCCGACCCTGCATCTGTTATACCCCATTTTAACTTGTTCAAATTAGAGTATAACATATTGGTGATTATTGAATTAATTACTAATTAAAGAGTCGCCACCTAATTATTTTAAAGGTGAATTAGGACACCGATTTTAACTAAATAAGTAAAGTTAAACTTCATTAAAGTCTACTAAATCTGTGAGATTCTAAGGTAAGGGTTCAAATTAACTTAAAGGGAAGGTGTGAGGCACCCCTCAAGATCCGCATGAGATGCGGTTACCTTCGGACTTAGTGTGATCTAACTAAAGTTTTGTAAGACCATTAGACTACAATAGTTAAAATATTTCACCAAAATGTTGTATGTCTTTTTTGAAGACTCAAATTTTGATTTTGAGATTTTAACTCCAAAAGGACACTGGACCAAAATGGGAAAAGGATTTAGTTAAGAAATCGTAGAAGTCGAAGCTTGAAATTAAGAAAAGTTAAGAATGCAAATGCATTTTTTATTCGTTAAAAAGATATAATAGATAAACAAAGCATGATATTGGTTTAAAAGATAGCCAGATTAAGTATTATAAGCAAAGTGCTTAGTAGGACCAGCCCATATTGATTTAACCATTATTCAATGGAACTAATTTCATTAGAACTATTTGACAACTAGGCATTAATAGAATTACCAGTCTAATTTTTAACTATATCCATTACCCTTACATGTTCATGCAAGAACTAATTAAGAATAATTGTAAATAAAATATATGTAATAAGAAAGCAGTTAATAGAAAATAAAAAGCCGAATAACAATGATAATCCATCCCATTTCTAGGGATGGCCAAAATTAACTTTGGCATTTTTCTTGTCTCTACCCAACACGAATAATCAGGTCTACGAAAGAGAAATATTGCATAGGAAGTGCAGCGGTGATGACTTCATGGCGACAACGAGTCTCGCATTGAGACTCAAGGTTGCTCCAAAGGGTACATGTGAACAAAAGAAGATATGAGAATAAAAATTAGTGGAGTCAGTTTCATATTTAACTGTATGATAAAATACAGATAACCCGGTCCAGAGGTATGAAAAGGACTGTGCGCAATATTTTTAAAAAGAACAGCTAACAGAAGCTTGCAATTTTCAATGAACTCCTAAAGCGGAGCTACTAAACATATGGACAGAAGATTTAATCTATGTTAAAATAGTTATTTGACCTGTCTGAAAGCTATACATTCAAATTCAAAAGGTTCTTGATTCTTTGAAATAATACTACCCCATTTGGCATAAATTTTAAGCAAACAACGATACTAGCTACAAAATCTAAACATGTGTACATGATTATATTCAACTTCATGACTTAAAAGAATAATGAATCTCAGGTGCTTAAATACTATTATCAACTTATATCTCCTAAACAAGTCAAACCCTTTTAACAGACAACAAGAAAAGAAGCTAAAGCTATTTTCTATTATTATTTGAGCAAACCAAACAAGAGTCTTGTGGATGTAGTTTCTTGTACCAACTTATATAAAATACATCTAGTATTATAGTAGACACAGCAAACCAAACTTCCTATACCTGATACAAGTCTTAAATACAAAATATTTTTACCAACATACATGTCTTCCTACCTTATGGGCATGCTTTCAAATGGACATTTAAGATACACACTGCTGCAAGAAATTTATTACCAATATCTTAGAGAGATAGCAGGACTACTTAAAAAACACAATTAAAGTATTTTGTCATATGTCAGAATACTTGCCAAAGTTTTTAAATAGTCATACCATGTATACACTCATTTTATAAAACCTAAAACATGAAATGATGTTCTAAACGTCAATACCACACAAGAGGGGGGTGATTTGTGTGGTACCCAATTTTCGCTCTAGAAGAACCTGGTTCTTCTAGGTGTTCTAACTATTGCAGTTTGCGGAATAATAAATGCATAAACTAAAGAACACAGAGATTTTTACGTGGAAAACACCTGGCTCAAAAGGTGAAAAAACCACGACCTACTACTCAGTAGGATTTTTCCAAACTTCCACTGAAATCACTGAGCCAAAATAGAATTTACAAAAACTCTTTGTAAACCTAAGGATTAACTCTAATCCCAGTGTGGCACACAGCCTCAACTGTTGCGACACTTTCAAATTAACTCTAACTTGAATACTCAAAGTACCTAATACAATTGCTTCTAAATAAGCTGAAAGATACAAACAGAAATTCCTACTATAATTGAACTAGAATTAGAATAAACACAATGGAACTGGTTCTTCTCTCTCATTCAAGTAGCTTCAGGAGTGCACACTTATATCTCACATATATTGCTTTCAAAACAGACTTGCTCTTTTGCTCTCAATTATGTTTTACTTCTGCATATGTGCAATACCTGTAAAAGAGAACAAACTCAGTTATTTATTGAGTTAGTAATTTAGAGTTTGATTGAGACTCTATTGCTTATCCTTAGACGATTTTGAGTCCTTGACCAATACAAACTCCAACCCTTATCCTAGATTAGGATTGTGTTCTCTCCTCATAAGGAGACCGTTCTCCTTATCCCAACTGCAATCTTTTCGATTTAGTTCAGAAGATATTGTTGCTTGATCTCTACGGTATATCTTCCTCACGTGCATCTCATATGCAATGGTTGATAAACACTGTTTTTCACCAGATGGACCAGGTCCATTACTGAGTTCATTTGTCAATCTTCAAAACTTCAGCTGAACTTGGGCCAACAAATTCCCCCTTTTTGATGATGACAAACTCTGTGCTTTTACTGATCAGAGAACCTGCAGAACTCAGCTGAAATATCAACACTTAAAATTTTAACTTATCATTAAGGGCCAGGTTTAATTAGGTCATAAACATCACTGTTCAGATAATAGAGTTTAAGCACAATATCTTCCCCCTTTTGGCATCATCAAAAAGTTGCATAAATAATGTGAATCCCAGATTATTAATTAGTACCCATGGCCACTGGGGCAACTGCAAGCGAAAGCATGCTTTAGTTAATCAAAAATCATCTTGACAAAAAAATAACTATAAAGATTTGAATTAACATAAAGCAAGAAAAATGCACATTGTCATTGATAAGCAGTGCTTCTACATAACAGTCCACAAAAAGAAAGAACAAAAACTACCAACCATGAGAAAAAACAAAAGAAAGTCCCGAATTTGGGTCACTAGGGGGTTTTCTAGACTGGTTTAGAACAGGACAAGGAAACCTAAGGCTTTGAGGAGCTAGAGGATTGGGCTTGTAGCAGATTAAGCATGGTTTGGAGCATTCCTTCACTCTTTTCTTTTTCCTTTGCAAGTTCAGCTCTTAACCCATTCCTCTCTTCTTCCAGTTCAACAACTCGAGCTTAAAGCCTTGCAATCTCAGCATCCTTTGTCCCTACCTCCTGAACTAAAGCTCTGACCTTGCTATTTACTGGAGTCTTCACTGATGAACCAGGTTCATTAGGGCCTACATTGAGGATATAATCACAGGCCTGAAGAGTCTTGATGCCAAAATGCTCTTTGCTGGAAGCCATCTCCCATTTCTTCAAGGGAACCTTCAGCTTGTCCAGCACAGCTGTCAGAATAAACCCATAAGGGATGGCATGAGCCTTTGAACCATTGAGAACCCTGTCTAGCAACTTAACAATGAAAGCAGGCCAGTTGATCTGCTTTCCTTCCACCAAGCACTGCATGAGGACCAGGTCCATGTAGTTTGTTGTGTGCCTCCTTTCCTGTCTAGGCAGCGGCATTTGTTTACAAATTCAAAGAGCACTTTATGCTCTGGCCTCATCTCACTCTTTTGAACAGCCCTTGCTTCAGGAACCTCCTCAGCATCTGTAGTGTCACAGAAGTTCCTAGTGATTTGAAGTTCAGTAGGCAGACCATACAGGCAAGGCCATTTTTGCATTGTGTAATCATCATAGCCCTCACTTGGAATGTTCAGGATTCTACCCAACTTAGGTGCATCAAATTTCACCTTCACCCCCTTCATTATACTGGTTGCCAGCCCATTCTGCACAGTCCCATTAGCCATGAATTCAATAAGTTCTTTTCTGGCCAATCTTCCATCCATCTGAAGGACCATGTCCTTCCATCCTTGTGCCTCCAGTGAAGTCAAAAATCTTACCATGCCTGGCTCCTCCAGGTCTTTGAGCAATCTACCTTTCAGAATTTTTCGTTTGCCAAAATTGACAAACCTATCTTGTTCCTGTTCTAACTCTTCTTCTCCTTCTTCTTCACTCCACTCTTCATCTTCTTCTTCCTCAACTTGCACTTGTTTTCCCTTTGCAGCTGACCTAGTTCTTTTAGCTAGAGAGGATTCAGCAGGTACAGACTTGGAGGGCTTCTTTGCAGAAGACCTGGTTCTCTTTGATTTGGCAGTGGGAACTTCTACAGTCGTACTTCTCTCTTGATGGACCAGTTCCATCTCTTCCTCTTCCTCTTCTACAGCAGCCTCAGAACTTTCAACCATTTTTGCTTTTCCCTTTTCTTTCTTCTTTTTCTTACTCTCCTCTAGTGCCTTTTGCAGTTCTGCTCACTTTGCCTCACCCTACTTCTTATGGCTCTACCCCTAGGTGCAGCAGACTTAGGTGATGAAACTTTGCTCTTCTTAGTTGGTTTGGACGCAATAGGGGTCCTTTGTGATGAGGCCTTGCGTTTCTTTGGATCATGATTGGCTTCAACTTTCTTTAGCATATCTGCCAAAGTCTCCTCCACAGATGAACCAGGTTCATCTGGTTGTTCACTCAAATTTATCAGACCCTCAGCAGCTTCACCTGACCCATTTCCCCCTGACTTCATGCCTCCCTCTTCTCCAGTACCACATATAGCTAAAACTTTCCCTTTCTTTTTCTTTCTTATTTTAATAGATTCAGCCCCTTCAACATTTTTAGCAGTCTTTACCAGATCAAACCTATTATCCTCGCTTTCTAATACATCAGAAAACAATAAGCAAGTGTTTACCTCTCCTGGGGTTTCTTGACTCTTGTCAGTGTCAGAAGACCCAGGTTCTTCTCTTTCACCGGCAGAGATAAATTTCTCAGATTCAGAGCTTGAGTCGCATTCTTTGGTTGTAACTTCCTTCCTTTGACTAGCCTGTAGTTTTTCGTTCAAGACTTTCCTCAAAGAACCATATGCAACTGTTTTTCTGGCTAACATTTTCTGACGACGAAATCTGGGTTTTGGGGGTCCACTAGGAGGAGTTGAAGATGAGGTGTTGGGGGAGACTGGTGGGGGAGTTCCGAGGTTGTCTTGGGGATTAGTCATGACGGAGAATTTCTCAGGATTTTGGGGATTTTTGGAGAAGAAGGCAGATGATCAAAAATTTTAGAATTAGAGTGACGGTTATGAGTGATTTGGTGGGTTTTTAAAGAGAGGTCATGATTAGGGCAGTAATGGCAGCCTTTTCAGAGGTCAAGTAGGAGTCTAATCAAGTTAGAGTTCTGGTCTCCTAAGTGATTAATGAAAATCGCTAGATTTTAGGGAAGAGATCCATTATAGTTAGACTCCTAGTTTAATGAAACTGGTTCAATTGCTCAACGGATAAAATTTTCTGGACGTTTGGTGTAACAAGGGCTTCTGCTCATGATTGATAATTTCATCTTTCTAATTGTGCAAAGTATAGAAACATACCTGAACTTTCTCATAAGCATATATTGATGAACCAGGTTCTTCAAGTAGAACTTCTCTTGATTATGCCTCAAATGTCAGAATAGAAAACTTTGTAAGAGATCAATGAGTCATATAAACACATGTCACATGAGTATACTAGTTAAAGTATGAGACTGAGTAAGAATTAGTCTAGATATTTACATGAATTAAGAACTCCTAACCAAATTTTTTTTTTCATTTTTTTTCATTTTTTTATATTCATTGTGCATTCTGAACTGGACCTTTTAGGTGATATTAATCATCCCTAATTCCAACCTGTTCCTTTCAAAGTTTTCTCTACTTAATGCCTTAGTGAAGATGTCAGCTATTTGCTTATCAGTAGCACAAAATTCTATGGAGATTAACCCTTTCTCATAGTTATCTCTTAAGAAGTGGTGCCTAACATCTATGTGCTTAGTCCTTTTATGATGAACAAGATTCTTTGTCATACTTATAGCACTAGTGTTATCACAGAATATTGGTATGCACCCCACTTCAATTCCAAAGTCTACCAGTTGTTGCTTAATCCACAGCAATTGAGCACAACTTGAAGCAGCAGCAATATATTCAGCTTCAGCAGTAGAGAGAGCTACTGAATTCTGATTTTTTGGTAGCCCATAATACAAGACAAGAACCCAGGAAGTGTGCCATACCTGAGGTGCTCTTCCTATCCACTAGAAAACCTACATAATCAGCATCAGCGTATCCAATTAAGTCAAAATTACTACCTTTGGGATACCAAAGACACAAATCAGTGGTGCCTTTTAAATATCTCAATATCCTTTTGACAGTTGTCAAGTGTGACTCCTTTGGATTTGCCTGGAAACGAGCATAAAGCCCTACACTGAAAACAATGTCAGATCTGCTGGCAGTAAGATACAGAAGTGAACCAATCATACCCCTATACTGCTTCTGATCAACTGATGAACCAGGTTCATCAATATCTAACTTAGTGGCAGTAGCAATAGGTGTATCTATTTCTTTGGATTCTTCCATTTTAAACTTTTTGATTAGTTCTTTTGTGTACTTCTGCTGATGGATCATAGTTCCATCTGGACTTTGTTTGATCTGCAAGCCTAAGAAGAAGTTGAGTTCACCCATCATACTCATTTCAAATTCACTTCCCATTAGTTTTGCAAAGTCTTTACTCAACCTTTCTGTAGTGGCCCCAAATATTATGTCATCAACATATATTTGTACAACAAGAAGATCTTTACCTTTTTCCCTTAGGAACAAAGTGCTGTCAATTTTACCTCTTTTGTACCCATGCTCCAGTAGAAATTTTGACAATCTTTCATACCAAGCTCTTGGGGCCTGTTTGAGACCGTATAGAGCCTTATCTAGCTTGTACACATGTTCGGGACACTCCTTGCTTTCAAATCCTGGAGGTTGTTTCACAAACACTTCTTCCTTGAGGTAGCCATTTAGGAAGGCACTTTTGACATCCATCTGATGAAGAGTGAATTCCATATGTGCTGCAAAGGCTATGAGGAGTCTAATTGCTTCAAGTCTAGCAACTGGAGCAAAGGTCTCATCATAGTCAATACCTTCCTCTTGACTGTAGCCTTGAACCACCAGCCTTGCCTTGTTTCTTGTAACCGTTCCATCTTCATCTAGTTTGTTCCTGAAGACCCATTTTGTGCCAATGATTGATCTGTCCTTGGGTCTTGGAACTAGGTGCCAGACTTGACTTCTCTCAAATTGATTGAGTTCATCCTGCATAGCATTGACCCAATCTGCATCCTGCAAAGCCTCAACAACATTTTTGGGTTCAATGATGGACAGAAAAGCATCAAATGCACACAGATTCTTCAGTTGAGATCTAGTTTTGACTCCAGATGTTGGATCATTGATGATGTTCTTAATGGGATGAGAGCTCAGGTACTTGTAAGATTTCCCTGCCAGCTGGTTCCTGCTAGATGCTTCTTTATTGTTCTGTTGCTGAGGAACATGTTCCTTCAGAGAGTTTTGATCAATTTCTCTCAGATTAGTTCCCCCTGTCAGGTTGCCCTGATTTGAAGGACCTGTTCCATCACCTGTTCCTTCCTTTGATGCCACTTTGACTTGTGCTGTGGCTTCAGTCAATTGTTTCACCAGTCCAATGGCTTCATCTTCATGTTCGTGTCTCTCAGAAAGAATGTTAGATTAATCAAATACAACATGTACACTTTCTTCTACACACAGAGTTCTTTTATTAAACACTTTATATGCTTTGCTATGTGAAGAATATCCCAAAAATACTCCCTCATCACTTCTGGGATCAAACTTACCTAGGGATTCTTTGCCATTATTGTGCACATAGCACTTGCAACCAAAAGCCCTAAGATGGGATATGTTTGGTTTTCTCCCTTTAAGTAACTCATAGGGAGTTTTCTCTACAAGAGGTCTAGTCATGCATCTATTGATTATGTAGCATGCTGTGTTTATAGCCTCTGCCCAGAAGCTGTGAGGTAGTTTACTAGAAAGAAGCATGGTCCTTGCCATATCCTCAAGGGTCCTGTTCTTCCTTTCAACTACCCCATTTTGCTGAGGGGTCCTAGGAGCAGAGAACTCATGATCTATTCCATTTTCATCACAAAATTCACCAAACTTTGCATTTTCAAATTCAGTTCCATGATCAGACCTAATGGATGCAAGTTGATTTCCTAACTGTTTCTGAGTTTTTATAACAAAAGCAGTGAACATTTCAAATGCTTCATCTTTAGAGGTTAGAAATAGCACCCAGGTAAATCTAGAGTAATCATCAACAAGCACCATTACATATCTCTTTCCACCTCTGCTCATGGTTCTCATTGGACCGCAGAGATCCATATGAACCAGTTCCAACGTTTTGGACGTACTTACCATTTTCTTGGATTTGAAGGATGACCTTACCTGCTTCCCCCTTGCACATGCCTCACAAACTTTGTCTTCCTTAAACTTGATATTAGGTAACCCTATCACCAAGTCTTTGGAGACTAATTTGTTCAATTGATTTAGACTGGCATGACCAAGTCTTTTGTGCCAAAGGAGGGGATCATTAATTAACACACTTAGGCAAGCGAGTTCATTTTCAGAGAGAGTTGACAAATCTACAATGTAAATATTGTTAACTCTCTTTCCCTGCAAAACAATCTTGTCAGTAGTAAGGTTAATCACAAAGCATTTGGTAGAGTTGAAAGCTACAAGATTACCTCTGTCACATAGTTGTGACACACTTATCAGGCTATATTTCAAGCCATCTATCAAATAGACATTCTCGATGGAATGAGAGTCTGTCTTTCCTACCTTTCCAACCCCAATGATCTCACCTTTCTTTCCATTTCCAAAGGAGACATTACCTCCTTTTAGGTTCTCAAGTGAAAGGAACTGGTCCTTGTTCCCAGTCATATGTTTTGAGCAGCCACTATCCATGTACCATATTTGGCTACTCCCCTTCACTTGGACCTGCAAAATGAAATCATGGGTTAGTCTTAGGAACCCAAACTAGTTTGGGTCCCTTTCTATGGGCAAAAGGATGAATTAAATTTTTCTTTGCCCAACCAGGCAGTTTGTGTTTTTCTTGAACAAAGGCTTTGTTCTTTTGACTGGCCTTTTCTTTTGCATTGCATTCATTTTTGTAATGGCCAGTCTTTCCACAGTGTGTGCAGATCTTATTTTCAGGAAGTGTGAGGTACTTGTTTTTGGGATCCCATTTTGGAGCTTGTGTCCCAAACCCAAGTCCTCTCTTGTTGCTGCTTTGATGTTCTTGCAGCCAGGAGAGTGCATCAGAAGCCTTGTTCCATTTGCATGTTCTGTCTAGTTCATGCTTTACCTTTCCTAAATCTTCCTTTAGGGCCTTAATCAATTCATCTTTCTTATATAGTTCATCTTTCATTTTTCCTAGATTTTCTTCTAGTGTGAGAAATGATTGATCAACCATTTTCTTTCCTGTCCCTAATTTCAGTTTAATATTTTCAGATCTGAGTTCTATGACATTATTTTCAAGTTCATGAACCTGGTTCTTCAACTCAGCATTTGTGTTGTCACTCTCATCAGCCCTAGACTCTATCCTTTTGCATTTTGCTTCTAGGATAACACATTCCCTAGACAGAACATCCTTCTCACTGTTTATTATTTCAGACTCATCAATGAAGTCCAATAATAGCTCAACCAACCTTTCTTTAGACAAAATTTAATCTTTTCTTTAAGATGTAGGATACTTACCTCCTGTTCATCCTCTGATTCTCTGATGGCCATGAGAGCTTTCTCATCTTCAGCTTCATCTTCTGAGCCCTCATCTGAGGTTTCTCCCCATGCAGCAACCATAGCTTTAGTTGAACCTTTGTTCCTTTTTGGTTGGACTTGTTCCTTCTTCCTGTTTCTCCGTTCAGCTCTTTCTTTCTTCCACTCAATCTCCCATTGAGGGCAATTCTTGATCATGTGGTCTGTCTTACCACACTTATAGCAACCATCATTAGTCTGCTTCTCAGGAGCCCGAGATTTGTTGGAGGTTATTCCTCTTGAAGGACCCTTTCCTCTCATAAGATACTTTTTAGTAAAT